GAAGGAGAAAAAACATCTGTAAGGGAGAAGAAACATCTGTGTGTCCCTCTTTCAGGCCGCGCGTTCGCTCGGCGAGACATCGCTCTCCTCTACTACCCATCGGCATACAACTTCCTATGGTACACACACACACATCTGTGTGTGTGTGTGTGTGTGTGTGTGGGCATCCGCATTTGTGGCCATTCGCGTCGGCGTCAGGATGTCTTCGCGCATTGTGGCCAAGCTGGACCGGTACACCGACCCCTCGCTGCACAACGGCCGCACACAGACACTGCCAGATTTCATAAAACACACACAGGTGCCGACAGAGCTGCACACGCGGAGATGCCAGCCACGTCTCTCTCTCTGTGTCCATCTGTGTGCGATCAGCGTGCATTGGGCCACGTGTACCGCACCAAGGCGACACAGTGGCTGCTGGACCAGGTCACCAGAGAGCCCATTCCAGACGGTTAGCGACACACACTGATACCGATGGATGGCTGGCTGCATGGCTGCATGGCTGCATGGCTGCATGGCTGCCTGTAGGCAACAATCCGAACCCCTTCATGCCCAAACCCGAGAAGCACTGGGCATACTGGGTACCTACGACAGACTCACACCACCAGAGGGAGACACCAGATCATACGCACATGGATGGGCGCAGGATGACTTCTTGGGCAACGGCGATCGGGATGTGTACGGCCGTCCGCGGCCCAAGTGCGAGGACCGCATTTTCAGCACCGCACAGGCCATCAACACGCTGCTAAACGTACCTAGACACCCACACACACGAAGGGCGCATTCCTGCATACATACAGGTCGGTTGATGCTTCGTGCGTGTAGATCTGGACATATCCCACTGCAGCACCAGGGGAAGGGAAGGAGGCGACCGGCAAGTTCGGACCACTGAAATGGCGATCAGGTGATATAGTCAGCACACAACAGAGAGACGCGCATCACAATGTGTACGTATCAATTGGAGCAGATACGCCAGCGAAGGTGGTGAGTATTGTGGGCGAGTCGTGTGGATGGCTGCGGCGGTACACTTTCTCTGGGGCCTTCCCAACCGGCAACGCATTCTTCTCGGGATCAATGAAGGGCATTACAGTAAGCCCCAGCCACACACATGTAGTATGGGCGTGTGTACACGTACCTGTCAGTGTGTCTGATGCCTCGCTGTGTGTGTGTGTGGTCAGACTGTGCCCTTCTTCTACCCGACAAACTTCTACATGGCCCCGAACGGAACCATCGTATGCACCACACACCACATCCCACACAACACGCAACACAAGAGACAGATGTGCGCTCCTGTGTGTGTGTCTTTACTCGGCCAGTATGACGTCAACACGACGCACATTCTCCGGTTCCTATGGGGGTCCACACTGGCCGTCTCGGGCATCATTCCCAAGTAACATACAAACATGAAGACGCATGTGCGTTTGCCCATGGGTGTGTGTGTTTATGTGTGATAGGCATGAGTATGAGGTGATGGTGTCCCAGCCTCATTTCAACATCACCACACCCACAGAATTCGGCGGCTTCAACGGCGAAGGTATGTGACTCTGCCTAAACCCCACACACATCGATCCATTCATCGCTCCATGTCTCCCGATGCATGCAGGTACCCAGGGTTTCCCCTACTGGTCCTCCGACGCCCTCACCTTTGCCGCAGTGCTGCTCGCTATCTCACGAGCAGACAACATCATGCCCACGGCCGCACGAGACGCCGGCCACGAGGCCATTCTCTACACATGACTCCATCCATGAGTGGTGCTCATGTGTGGGTGCGTGCATAGCGCCGATTTGTGTGTGCAGGGGGGTGGGGAGAGAGAGGGGAGACAGGGGAGGTGGGCAGTTTTCCGACTGATGCCCTCGTGTGCTAGGCAGTGAGCGCTGCGATTGACAGTTTCCGTTCGTCTGGTCTCATTGCGCAGCAGTGACCGAGCGGATGATCAAACTTCAGCTGGAAGCGTGATTGTGTCGCAGACGGACAGACACCACACAAACAGACTTCGCTCTGTTCAATGAGATGGAGCTGCAAAAAAGAGCCCGCAGGTGTGGAGCTCGCAATGGCACACGGTGAGAGAAAAATCGTCTCGACGGGCACAGAGTCATCAACGGCTGACAGAAAATGTCCCATGATGCAGCAGAGACACACAACGGAGCCCACATGAGTGTCGCCGCCATTCAGCGACCGACCGACCACCCCATCCATCTGCAAAGCATCCACACTGCAGGTAGAATAAAGCCAGGCAGACACTGACGTGATGAGAACCCCCCCTGCCCTCCCAACACACCACCACACACAGCTGCAATTGACACACACAAGCAGACCTCACACACCACACACCAGCACAGGCACACAGAAGCTGTGTGGTCGTGAGCGGCCGACCGGCCGACCGATGAATCAGCCCGCGCAGAGGACACTCGCTCACTCCCTCACTCATGGCAGACAGCCAGACAGACAGACAGACGGACAGTGAGGGGGAGAGAGGCGACTGACATGCAACACCATTGTCGGAGAGCCCCCCTCTCAGACACGCACGTCGCACAAAACGATGTTCGTCATGAGCACCTGGACCGGCTGATGAACATCATGACACACTCACTCCATCCCTCAACACCGGGGGCACACACTTAGTCAGCCAGGCAGCGAGGGAGGAGCCCCCGGCCACACACATGAGTGTGCGGGCGACACACAGCCGCCCCCCCGTGTGTGTGTGGACTCTCTCCTACTCTATGCTGATCAAACGCAGCTGAATGTAGCGGGCGATATATCCGGGTGGCAGTGTGATTTGCCTCGTCTCCCCCTCGCGCATCGACAGCACCGCGTCACCCTCCCAGGCAAAAAACAGATCAGACACACGATCCACCCGCCCACGGTAATCGACGAATTTGTCCCGGCCGTTGAATCCATCCACCCATTCGATGTCGTCGAACTTGACGCGGTCGTTGGGTGTGGGCACTCTGCCGGTGCCCTCCTGCACCACCTCATACTGCGCACCAGATGGCAATGTGCCAGTCCGACGGCCAACACTGCTGCTGTTGGCGGTCTGCTGCTGTGACAATGAGGAGCCCTCCTGCCGCTGACGCAGTGTGGCGCCGCCGCCATTGGCCACTCCCACACTGATCAACACACAGACAGAGAGAGAGTCAGAGCAGCATCTTCACGCACAATGGTTGTTGTGACGGTGTCGGCTCTCACGTTTGGTCCACGAGGGGCTGTCCCGGCAGCCGTCCAGGCGGCAGCAGGTCGTCGAAGTACCGCCGCTGGCCGCCCTCCTTGGTGTAGAACTGACCCGCCAGGGCGGAAGGGTCCTCGTACACGAAGCCGTCGCCCAGACGCGTCTTGCCGACGACCCGCTCATTGCCGGCCCCGACAAACACACACAGAGGCCATCCACAGCGATGGTGTGAGTGACAGAGTTTGCTTCTCACCGGTTTCGAGGCCACTCTCCGATGGGCAGCAGCTTGGGCGGGTCGGTGCTCAAGTCGAAGAAGCGGACCCCTTTGTCATCATCGCCCAGCAGCACCTCCATCGGCCGCCCGTCGGGGCCTGCACCGGTGACGTCGAACGACAGCTCCCCCGGCCTGTCGAGGGACTCGTAGACCTTCCCGTCGCCCCACACAGTGAGGCCGACCAGCCTGCGGCCACCTGGTGCCATCCTCTGCAGACAACAAACACACACAGAGCGAGGGATTCATCATCTCATCTTTTGCATTCGTTTTTCCGGAAGATCTGTGATAGTGTGCTCACCAGTGGCCCTTTGCTGCCTGATGCTTGCCTCTCCGTTGTGAACAGCCCAATGGCGATCATAGCAAAGCTCGCAGCTCTTGCTCCGACAAACGAAACCTCCGCAAACCTCCCGAAGGGCAACGAAGGTCAGGGAAGTCGGAGAGGCACCGACAAAGGCCTAGATCTGTTCACATCTTTACGTCTGTGTGCGGTTCAGACCCAACGGTGGCACAGAGGAGGGGAAATGGACAGATCTGTCGCCCCATGTCCGGAGCGTGCCATCCTCAACAGCTTCCACAGACCGGCCGTCATCCTCTGTGAGAGCCTCAACCCACAGAAGCAAGAGATCACCACAACGAAGGAGAGCACGGCTCAGCTCAAGACCAACCACCGCATCGCTGACACTCCGCCGACCTCCGGCAAGGACGTGCTGCTGCTGAACGTGGGCGGCACTGAGCGGCGGGTGAGGCGACAGCACCTAACGGAGGGGGAGGGGGTGGAGGGCACTGCGCTGGCCCTGCTCTTCTCTGGCAAGTTCGACGAGCGGTTTGTTCGCGACGGGAAGAAGCGCATCTTTCTCGACATGGATTGTCCCGCCTTCGACGTCATTCTCCAGGGCATACTGGAGGCGAGGGCCCTCCAGCAGGCGACTAGCGAGGGCGGTCGGGACAGAAACGCGGTCTCCCGCCTGTTGACTGAGGCCGACAAGCGCCAACACAAAGGTACGATGGACAGCCAGATTGCTCTTATGTACTCCCCGTCACCTGTCTGTGTGTCTGTCTGTGTGTCCCTGTTTGTAGAATTGCATGAGTTCTGGATCAAGAAGCTGC